GAACGGGATATTAATTCACACAACTACATGGATGAATCTTAAAGACACTTTCCCAAATTAAAGAAGACTTACCCAAAAAGTCAGCTGTTGTATAATTCTAATCACATCACATAGTCTGGAAAAGGCAAAATTATAGATATTGAAAAGAGATCAGAGGTTCTCAAAGGTTTGCTAATAAAAGCAATTAGCACTCTGGGGAAATGGCCTGTAATGTGTCAGAGTTAAGAAATGAAAATCTAGGGGCGCCTGGGTGGTTTGGGCAGTTAAGCGTCGACTCTTGATTTGGGTTCACGGTTTGTGAGATTGAGCCCTAAGTCCCGCTCTGCGCTGACAGTGCAGAACCTGCTTGGGATATTCTCCTTCTCTCTCTCTCCCACTCGAGCGCTTGCTCTGTCTCTTGCTCTCAAAACAAATAAATAAAATTTAAAAAAAAAAAAAATGAAAATCTAAGGAGAACCAACACAGTCATCTTGGCTACCCCAAATAACACAACCACTTAAGCTTTAGCCAAGCAAATAATTTCCTCGCTTTGCTTTCCTTTCTTTCCTAGAAACGTCTTCCTCCTAGCTCCTGTCCGTGGAGCGCTCCTAACAACTTCTGTTCCGGTGCTGCCGGATGCGAATTGGTCTCCGTTCAAACACAATCTTAAAATCTTCACTGTGCCTCCGTTGATCTTTACCAGTGTATACAATGGAATATTCTTTATCTGTGAGGAGGAAAGAAGTCCTGTCATGTGTCTGGATTAGCACAGAGGACGGTATGCTGAGTGAGATAAGCCTGACAGAGAAACACAAATACTATATAATCTCACTTAAATGTGGGGTCTAAAAAAAATCCAAAAGACCAAAGTCACAGAAACAGACAGTAGACTGTGGCTGCCAGGGCTGGAGGGTGAGGAAATGGGGAGACACTGGTCAAGACATCTCCAGTTATGAGTCAGTTCTGGGGAATCTAATGTACTTGTGTGGTGATTATAGTTAATATATGTATAGTTAATAGTACAGCATTGTATACTTGGAATTTGCTAAAAGAGTAAATCTTAAGTGTTCTCAACACACATGCGCGCGCACAGACGCACACACACATATAAATAGTAACCATGTGAGGTGATGTGTTAACCCTATTGTGGTAATCACTTCACAAAATTTATGATTTCAGATCATCACGTTGCACCACTTATTTCTTTTTCTTTTATTTTAGAGAGAGAGATGGTGCATGTGTGCGCATGGGTGAGGGAGGAGAGAGAGACAGAGAGAGTCTCAATCAGGCTCCATGCTCAGCACAGAGCCAGATGCAGGGCTCGATCCCACACCTCTGGGATCATGACCTGAGCTGAAATCAAGAGCCAGACGCTGGACCAACTGGGCCACCCAGGGGCCCCTATATTTTCAATACATAGTTTTATTTGTTAATTATACCTTGATAAAGCCGAGAACATTCTGAATAATTAACTGTGGCTTTCTGTTTTCCTGTTTTACAGTTTGTTTTTCTATTTTATTCCATTCTTTTCTCATCTTTGATAGATTCTTTTATATTCTTGGTGTTTAATTTATTGGTCATTTTCGAACTTTCCAATATATGAGCTTAAATAATGGAATTTTAGGCTTTTTAAATTTCATAATATACCAATTTAGACACATAGATTTAGACCCAGAGCACTGACTGAGTCACATGGACTTAGGTATGACCATTCTTTCATCAAAATGTTTCCTAATTTCCTTTGTGATTTGTCTTTGACTCGTGAGTTATTATGTGTATTGCTTGTTTTTCTAATATTTGGGTTTTTTTTCTAGTTTCATTTTCATTCTTGACTTTTAATTCTTAGAAAACTTGTCATATAGTCTTCCTCTTTTTGAAAGTTGGTCTACTCCAGCAGATGTGCAGGATAAACTAGAAAAGAAGCCCTGTTCAGAAGGTATCGGTGTCAGGAATGTTAGCTATGTCAACCAGGTCCATTGGTTTTGTTGCTTAAAATCTTCTAAACGTTTACTGTTTTCTGCTCGTCCTCTCCACTACTAAGTGTGGTGTTACATTTCCCAACTCGTATTTTAATTATTTGCTTTTAAAATTAAAAAAACATTTATTTTTGCAAGAGAGAAAGAGACAACAAGCAGGGGAGGGGCAAAGAGAAGGGGACAGAAGATCTGAAGCAGGCTCCATATGGAAAGCACAGAGCCCAACGTGGGGCTTGAACCCATGAACCATGAGAATATGACCTGACCCGAAGGCAGTGGCTTAACCGACTGAGCCACTCCCCCAACTCAGATTTCAGATTTGGCTCTTCTTCCTTTTGGGTTTTCTCCCAAATGTATATATTTTGGAGCTTTGTTATTAAGCACATACATACTTAGGATTTTTGTGTCTTCCTTATTCATTTGAATCACCATGAACATATCTCCATTAGTATTTCTTGACGCTTCCTATTTATGTTGATTTAACTGCATCTGCTTTCTGTTTGCACAGCATGTCCTTTTCCAATCTTTCAAACCATGTGTCTTGTCTTCTGAGCAGCATCTGCATGGGTTTGCTTCATATTTTTATTTGTTGGGTCACCCGGGGTGCTCAGTCAGTTGAGTGTCCAACTCTTGATTTCAGCTCAGGTCATGATCTCATGGTCGTGGAACCGAGCCCCATATTGGGCTTGTGCTGACCATGAAGATTGTTGGTTTCTCTCCCTCTCTCTCTGCCCCTTCCTCCCTCACTCTCTCTCTAAACATTTTTTTAAAAGGAAAAAAATATTCTACCTGTTTAGTACATTTAATGTAATCACTGAGTACTTGGTTGGTCCAGTACACTCACTATAAATAAAGTAAGGATTAAGATTTACGGGGCTTGGCTTTCCAGAAAATATTACACTCACTGTGTAATTTTGGTCACCCAAAGACATTCCATGATCTAACTAGCTCCTTTTGTGTAACTGATGCCTGCTATGTAACACATGTTAAGTCTCAGCCAGGGCCTATGGTTCTGTGGAAGAACAGGGGGGTGGGGAGGCGGTCCTAGATTTCTCTGCACCTCACCAGCATCCTGAAATCACCTGCACACCTGACGTTAGTAAAGGCAGGTATTGGTTAAGAACTCGGACTCTCGTGATCCTTTGTATCACGTCAGCTCTCTAAGAGATTTCGCTGTTCCAACCCATGACCACTTCAATCCAGTCTCGACCAGGGTAAGCTCTCAAGAATGCAGCTAGATTGTGATACTCCTCCAAGCAAGCTTTCTAGACACTTGGAGTAAACTGCTGTAATCTACAAGTCTCAAGGCATGCCGATCAGACCTCCCCTTCTCTTCTCTGCCCCTCACATTTGCGACACTGCCCTACACTGGGGGCTTTGTCCTGTCCCCCCAGCCTGGGGAAATCCACAATGGCTGGCTCCTTTGTTCCTTTCAAGGCATTCCCTTCCCAGTGGGGCTTTCCCTGACTACTGGGAGGTATACCAGATCGCCTTCAGACCACTATCTCCATAGCCTTCCCCTCCTTCTCAGACACATGTAACTGGTACATCTACTTATTCATTGTGGTCTCTCCTCAACATAGGGATGCAAGCTTCCTGAGAACAGAAGGGTTTCATCTGCTTTGTTCACTGCTGAATCCACAGTACTTTGAGCAGTACCTGACCAAGTGGACTTTAAGTATCTGTGAAGTGGATGAAATTCCCCACTGGGTACTGTTTTGGGTGTACCCCACGTGTGCATTTAGTACTTTAAATCAGCCCCAAATACCCCGTAATCCATTTTTATTTCCTCCTATGCTATGGATCATTTGTATGTGTTTAAAATTATGTTCTTTCTGGGATACTTTTTATAGTTCATTTCTAACTCCATCAGGGTCAGAGAACAATGCCTAATTTTATGCAATTTGTTTTCTCTTATGGCCTAGTTCATAATCGGTTTTACGTTTCAGATGTATTTGAAAGCAAGGAGGGTGCCCAGCTTGTTGGATGCGGCATATACATCTAGTTTTCTAATTGTCAAGTTCAAATTCTCATTTTTTTTTTAAATCTGATTCAGTTTAGAATACGTCAGCACAGATATACAGGTGTGCCATCGAGAATGAAGAACCTTCTGGGCACAGTTAGCTTTCTAGGGAAAACGCACATTGCAATAGTGACCACAAGCTCCATTTTCACTCATCGGCATCATTACTGAAAGTGATGGGTCGAATAGTGGCTTGTTAGAATAACTGAGGTTTCAAAGTCTCTCTTACTGGTAAAACTAGTGGTGAACCAGATATGATGGAATCTGGACACTGTAATTCAGAGGTACTGGCCACCCGCAAGGGTCAGACTAGCAAGGCCCTTGGGTAGTGCCTGAGACTTTGCCCTAAGACATCACTGTGTCCGGCCACTGGGTTGGAGGACACCTCATGGTGTTAAGAGAACAAAATCCTACCCCTGGAACATCAAAACCATCTTGAAATGTTTCTTGTAAGATACCGTGGACCATCCAAAGAGACGGACCCAGGACTCCATTAAGCTTTGGGGGCCGTTGGGCGCCGGATCGCGGACACATCTTCCATAAACATGGTGCAGGATCTGACCTGACACCTCACTTCACCACTCGCTGGCAGGCCATGGGGACGCTGATCGATCTGCTCTAGCACCTGACCCCTGGCGACGCCTAACAGAAGTAACCTGGGTGCCATACGTACGTAGACCTAAGACGGCCTGGGGCCGGCTCCAGTGTCACTGGGACAGCATATTTGTCACTTTCTCTTCACAGGTCAGTTGTGGGGTCACGTCACAGACAACACTGGTAGGTGAACACAAGTTCTTGTTGCATCTTGTTACAGTTACCATTAAAGAACGTTGTGCTTTGTCCTTTTTAATGTTCTCATCTTAAGTCCGTTTGGGCTGATTCAGACAGCACGAGTCTGTAACTGGGTCTGTTAGGTTCTTCTTATGTTTGCTTCCATTAAAAAAAATATATAAGACTAGAGAATAATGTAATAAACAGCCACACAGCTTTACCAGATCTTAACATCATTTATTTTTCAAAAAGACCAGGAACGTTTGACAGGTAAATTTGTTTTATAAATGCCAATCTCTTGAATAAAAAGCCAATAGACACCAGAGCCTAGACAAATTAATCATACCCTTGTACGTTTTTTCTGCACTGACAAAGTGTCCGGGAGATGCCGCAGTCCCCTCAGGCGCCGCAACCACACAGCACACAGTGGGCGGCTCTCACAGCCCCGGAGGCTGGACGCCCAGGACGGGGTGCTGGTGGGGCCGGCCTGGTGACAGCCCTCTTCTGGCTGCAGACTGAGGACTTTGTGCCCTCCCTGGGCGGGAGCCAGGGAGCTCCGGGGGCCTCCTGCCCCAGGGCCCTGATCCCATTCCTGAGGGCCCACCCCCATCCTGCCCCAGTGCCTCCTACAGGCCCCCACCTCCTCCTATCACCACAACGGAGGCTGGCACTGGAACATTTGAATGGGTGGGGGGAGGGGACATAAATATTCAGACCGCAGTAGGAATTTTTAGAAGACAAGGATACCAATTTAAGTAGGTATTTTAAGCCTAGGACACAATTTGAGTGAGAACATGGGATTAAAATAACATAGAAAAACAAAAATACACCAAAAGGAGCAGAGAAGAGGAGCTGGGGGAGGGGGAGGGGGGGGCTGTAGTTTCACTAAAATATGTACTTGCTCACATCTGTAAACTAGGCAAATTTCCCTAAATTCTGGAACTGTGAGATTAAGAACTGTGATAAGTCACATAAAATAGAATTCTAAAATATGTCACATTTTAAAAATCATTTAAAAAAATCTCTAAGCATTACCATAATGCTTTTATTTTTTTAATAAGAAATAAAGTTTGGGTAATAAATAATCATTTGACAAGGTTATACGGACCTTCCTTAACTTCCCGTGAAGTTACATCCCGATAAATCCATCGCTAATTGGAAAACAGCAGAGCCGAGAAGCACTTGATCCGCCTAAGCTACGGACGGCCCCCGCTCAGCCTGGCCTACCCCACACGTGCTCCGAGAGGGACATGAGCCTGAAGCTGCACGTTAGAGCTGACTACCTCAACGTACCGAGCGCCGCACGGGAAGAGGCAAAACATCTGCCTGGGCACAGAGGGCTGCCGGCCCCAGCCTCCGCCACCGTCCTGCGGTCCGGAGAGCGTTACCCCACGTCACCAACCGGGGAAAGAGCAAAAGTCAAGCTTCCAAGTACAGCGTCCACTGAACGTGCACCGCTCTCACGCCACCGCGAGGTCAAGCTGTCGGAAGTCAGGGGCTGTCTGTACAGACAAGTATTCGTACGCTGTACACAGTTAATTTATGAGCGTTCTTTATGGCAGAGCTCACGTAAGAAAGAATTATTTTTACCTTACTTAAAAAACCTGGCGGCGGCAGCTCACCAGCTCTAACCATCTCGCCGGTCGGCTCTAGTGCCCATGCCCGGTGCTGCGAAGCCTCCTTGTGCACAGACAGATGCCCTGTGAACGGACGGAGGGATCAGCGGCCGCCCTGGGAGGTGCCAGTGCAGAGGCCAAAGCGCGGCGTGCTGAGTGGGAGGCACTTAATGGAAAACCACACCAGAAGTTTGCTGTGATGGGAAGCGGTCCACTCCCACCCTACCTCCTCCAAGAAAAAACTTTTAATTTTAAAAACTGCAAGTCTCAGTGTCAGTACAACTGCCTTTTAATACTTCCAGCCCCAAAAGCATCATCCTTTTCTTTTCTTTTGATTTTAGGACCAAATATCCTGAATATACCGCTTTTCTTCTTTTAAAGTAGCCAATGTTTTCATTGCCTCTAGTTTTTCAACTCCAGCCTCTTTGCTTATTATTTCCACAAGGGTATCATTGACATCTTTGGCCATGTTCTTAGCATCTCTAAAAAAAAAGAACAGTAGCGTCAATATTTACAAAACAAGAATTTTCACCAAAGCCTCCATGATTCACAAATCTAATTCCACAGACTCCACTGCTGCCCACCCTGGTCCTCCCCGTCTCTCTGGGAAGGGTCCCAACAGGTGCCCCCGCCGGTCAACCGTCAGGCCTTCACCAGTGACCCGTGCCATCCGCAAAGCTGACCATTCCCACTGGAAACCCTCCAAGGTGCTCCTGCTCCAGGGACAGCCACGTCTTCAGGGCGTCAGGACCCCAGAAATCTGGCTCCTGCCCATGGCCCTCATCGGCCCCCTTCATTCTCTGGGCGCAGGGCGGAACCTCCATCCCCAAGGGCAACCAGGTTTTATACCTACAAGCCTTCATGTAGACAGACACACACACACATACACACACACACACACACAAATATTAACAGACACAGTCACTGTGGGCTTGGCTCTAAGTGCTTTGCCAGGTTTCAGCCCTGTTCACCTACAGGACGGGGTGAGGTAACTCTCCCCCCTCCCCCATCGTCCCCTCCAAGTGCCTGGTGTTCTGTGAGCACCTGCTCGCGCAGCTTTCCCACCAGGGAGTGAGCTGTTTGGGGGAAGGGAGTGTATCACACTTATCACTCAACATCTGAGCCGTGTCAGACAGGACTCTGGGGCGCCTGGGGGCCTCAGATAAGCCCCTGACTCTTGATTCGGGCTCAGGTCATGATCCTGCAGTTTGTGGGATCGAGCCTCATGCTGGGTTCTGTGCTGGTGGCATGGGGGCTACTTGGGATTCTCTCTCTCCCTGCCTCCCTCTCTCTCTGCCCTCTCCCGCTCGCCATGCACACGCACACACGCACTCTCTTACGCTCTCTCAAAAACAAATAAATTAAAAAAAAACAAAGTGTCAGGCAGGAGTCTAAACATGTCGGGAACAGAACGTGCCCGGCCCCTTACAGCAGCATCTCTTGAAAAAGTTGTCACCAAGGGCTGTGTCAGCTTTCTCCTGCTCTCCCCTTGGCCACTACACTGCAGCCGCCACTCCCACGGCCCTGCCCCGTGGCACCAGTGGCTGCCAGCGGCCAATCCTACGGGTCCCCACTGTCTCCTTGACTATCAGCAGCACAAGGCTCCCCCGCTTGGGACAGTGTCCCCTGGGCTTAGGGGCAAGACCACTCCTGCTGAGGGGCTGGTCTGCGTTAGGGCTCCACGGGGTCCAGTTCGGAGCCCCCGCCACGGACCACCACCACGAACACCATCAACTCCACTGCGCAGATGGAAAAGGGAGGCCGCAGTAACGGGTGCAGAGCTATTCTCGGGCTACCACTGCGAGACTCTGACACGTAAGCTACCCTCCAAGTTCTCACTGACCCGTCATTCATGTATTTGTGCAACTGACTTTGCCTTTGTAGTTCGAGCTGCGCCTGGAGCTCCGGCCTCCTCACCACTGACAGCCCTGCCCTCTACAGAGTGATGGTCAGACACTTCTCTAAGAGCTCAATGAAAACGTGAACCCACGTAACGTCCAGAACCTCTACCTTTACCAACCGAAAGCCTAGAGTCAAAACTCTATTCCTAGGGCATAAAATCAGCTTAGTGGTCAACATCTATTTTTTTAAGAAAAAATAAAATAGAATAGATGATATCACAACAGGTCATGAGAATAGAAAAAGCTGTGTTTTATAAAACTTGTTTCAATTGTATTTATATCTATCCTAGATCGTTGTATTGTAGTTCTCCTTCAGTATCACAGTTTAAAAATAAAAAAAAAGAACCTGACTTGATGATTTATAACATGTTTTAAATACCAGGGATGTGGGGGCACCTGGGTGGCTCAGGCAGTTGAGCATCCAACTTGCACAGGTCATGATTTCAGGTCTTGTGGGCTCGAGCCCCACATCAGGCTCTGTGCTAACAGCTCAGCCTGGAACCTGCTTTGGATTCTGTGTCTCCCTTTCTCTCTGCCCTTCCCCCACTCTCTCTCTCTCTCTCTCTCTCTCAAAACTAAACATTTAATAAATAAATAAATGCCAGGTATGTGTTAGAATTAAAAACAGCCATTTCTTACTTCAAAAGTCCTTTGTAAATAACACAGGTTTTTAAAAATTCCATTGACAAGCCAGTAAGTTTCTAAAATTTTTATTTTTAATGGCAATTTAGGGATTTTCATAACAGATCTTGCTTCAGAAAGTAGATAAAACTTAACATAAAGATCTGGCTTAAGTTGACTCTGAAATTATAAATTATGCCTTAAGAAAAAGAACCCTTAGATTCACATTCTCAGGAAATCACGAGAGTTTTCCTCAGCTGGGTCAGCTGTACACACCACCTTACTCTTGGACACAACAGAATCAGTCCTGAGACCGCAAGTTAACACCAGATGTAACTTCTAGAGGCTAAAACGTGTATTCAACACGGCACACAGCATTCTGAAAAGGGCCATTTCCACATCTATTTCCCTGATAATGACAACGTCGGCTATTAAACGTACGTTGAAATCATTTTAGAACTTGTATTCGTATTCCTGTCCTTGGGAATCAAAGCTGTCATCCTCACCCGTCTAGATTAATGGTCCCTGGTTCATGGCATAAGTATCATCAACTGCCTTCGCGGTCTGGCCCCCGGCGGGACGGCCGCTTACTTACCCGCACACGTAGATGTACCCGTTCTCCTGCAGAAGCGCCTTGGCCACCTGCTCGCCGTGCAGCCTCATGTTGTCCTGCACGTACTTCACCGGGGCTGCCTCCTCACCGACGGCAGCGTCTCTCGAGAAGGACACCTTCAAGTGAGTTAGGACCCCGCGCTTACAGAAGTGTCTGAGCTCTTCCCTGAAATACGGTATTTGGTGGGTTACTGGGAAGTTTACCCTTAAAGCTGAGAAAGCCTGAAAGCAGAGCTGCAGCAGCAGAGCCGTGCAGTACCGGAAGAGGTAGTCCCGTTCCTGATGGCGGCAGCCAAAAAACAGCCACATTGCTCCGAAGCGTCCCTCTGGATGCTGTTCTTGCAGTTTCTCTCTATGTGAAAAAGAAAGTGGAGATGTTGGACATGAAGTGTATGCAAAACTGGGGCGCCAGTGGCTCAGTCGGTTAAGGATCTGACTTCGGCTCAGGCCAGGATCTCACAGTTGGGGAGTTCAAGCCCCGCGTCAGGCTCTGTGCTGACAGCTTGGAGCCTGGAGCCTGCTTTGGATTCTGTGTCTCCCTCTCTCTCTGCTCCTCCCCTATTCCCATTTCATTTCTCTTTCTCTCAAAAATAAACATAAAAAAAAAAAAGAATATGTAAAACCAATCTGTGAGATCAGGAAACACCCCCAAGAAACGGAGGCAGGGTTTGCAGTCACCGAGAGAACACGGTGCTACGTTCAGAGGGCTGCCCGGTCTCCAGCAGCCACCACGACACGCATGTACCTGCAATACAGAGCATGCACCTATAAGCTCTTCGTGGTATCTGTGAGGACAATCCAAAATATCACAGGGTGAAACCTACACTCGTTTCTACACTCAATATTAATAGCAACTCTGTGACTAAATATAACCCTCAATTAACGGAATGGAAATGTGGCCCCGGCTTTAAGCAGTAGAACGATCTGCTGTGAACTGCTTAGGAAACAACACGTGGATGAGACGTGCCGGCATCGTCCGCCACTCCTCTGCTTCCTTAAGGAAAAAACAAGAACAAAATAAAAGTAACAGAAAGACTTGTCCAAAGGATATTACAGCACTGTCTGCAGACCAGCACACAAACAACTGTTTGTTATTCACAAACAGGGAGAGAAGCACAATTGATTTTATATCAAATAGTTCTATACTGATACAAAGACACCTATTAAGATCAATCTGCTGAAAATGACTGACATCTGGGTTTAACTCTGAACCTGTGGTGTAACAGTATCTCCATAAGTAGCGGTTTTATCGAGTTAAGGAGCCGATGGAACTGACCGCATGTCATCACAGCAGAAAGCGGTGCCAGGAATCGGTCCCCAACTACACACGTTATAAGCTATGTGCAGCCGGGAGGAAAAAAGAAAGATGAAGTGCTACAGTAAGAGGGCAAGTTCTAACACAAAACGCAACCTCTGGGGGAGATCACATTTATTTTTCCCACGGTGACAAATTCCATGCTACCACACATTTGATTATAATTTTGTAAAATAAAAATTTTACAGCCCAAGTCCAATATCCAAAAAACCACAGCAGAAACAAGCAAGTGCTCCGTTAGATTTCCACCCGGGACCACGAGGGATGCGTTCTCTCACTAGCCAAAGAAAGCACACACCTGTGTTGCAGGAAACCGATGAAGGGCGCTATTCCAGTCCCCGGCCCCACCATCACGACAGGGGCCACGGGGTCGCTCGGCAAGTGGAAAAAATTGGTCTTTCGAGGAGAGATGGATATCTGCAATATTAAACCAACGCTCATAAGTCTGAAAGAAAACCTAGACGGAAGTACATAAGCAAGATGATCTTCGCTAGAAAAATTATCACTGAAAACAGGGACACTTATGTCCTTACAGAGGAAACCAGTCTTTCTTGCAAATTTTTACTTTCTGTCGAAATCAGAGGTGCTTTAAAAATGACAGGCCTATTTCTAAGGTAGAACAATGAATAGATACAGTCACAGTCTTGTCCGGGGCCCGTGGGTTAGGTCTGCTTTCTAGTAGCTAGCCCATTACACATATCATGGAGAAATGCACGAAAACCTGAAGACAGGATTCTCTGTATTTGCACATAAAGGAGCATGAACATCAACAATCGAGATGGAGTGAAAGTTTCCAGTGCAAATCGGGCAAGTGAAGGAAAAAGGAGGGGGTTGCTGCAAAGATGCTAAAGAATTTGCCGTGTTGGTTAATCCAGGGTCGATGTAATGTGTCTGCAAAAGTGGAAGAATAAATAAGCCGTATACGCACATACAATCTTTTTGCTAATTTCAAAAGAATGTTCTTCTAAACTGGGTGCCAGGGATACTTAAAGGAATCAATTTCTAAATATATTTCAGTTCCAGTCTCACTCTGCTCTTTGCAGAAGTTAACTGGGTGACGGGAAACTGACCTACACATCCCCATGTGTAGTTATACACATTTTCACCTTCACCGCAAGGAAAACCGTACGCGGTTCAACAACAGGATGACTTGGCAGAGCTGTGAACGAATGCGTGCTCTCATTCTGGAACAAGACTGTAATTAACGCTGCGTTGGCCTCACTTGACTCGTTCACGTGCGAGTCTCCCTGCTGGTACTCACAGGACAAGCATGACAGAGAGAGAAATGAACAAAATCCGTTCTCGGAAGAAAAGACAATAATCAAACCTTTAACTGTAAAATGACTGGTAACCATAAGACCCGCGAAGCAAAGTGAAAACAGGCTACACCGGGTAGGACGGGGGTGTGCCAGTGACAGCGTGGGGCCCGCACGCCAGGGACGGCGAGGCGACCAGGGTCGGTGAGGCAACCAGGGTCAGGCTGCTCTTGCTGCAGCAAACCGCACATGGCTACACTGCCACCCAACACTTCCTCCAAAGGCTATGGGCAGCTCCAGGTGTCTGTACCCCAGACCTCCTCCACCGGCGTCCAGGCTCAAGGAGTGTCCTTGACCCGCATCGTCCCTCCTTGTACCAGAGTCACGCTGGCAGGGAGCTCCTGCTCAGACGGGACATGTGTCCTGTCTGCTCGCATCTCATGGTGGATGCTGGTCACACACCAACGGCAGGGGCGGTCCACGCCTGCCAAGGACAGTGGTACCTGTCAACGGTTGTCCCATCCACCTGCCAGGGGCGGCTGTGGGGTGGGTCACATGGCCCTCAACACTCTACACTTCCTAATAAAATACGTGTGGTGCTAAGCACCTTACAGTCAAATCGCAGCCTTTTTCCTGTATTTCTGATGCCTCAACACTGAGGAGTCGCTAACAAAGATCTGTTAAAACGGAGAGAGGAGGAGAAAGAAAAGGCGGAAGGGAGGAGAGAATGTGTAAAAAGGCACCTGAGCTGAGTGTCTGTGGTAAGTCTGGGGCATGTATATTTAACTTTCTGGAGATCGTCTCTTTTCAGAAGATCATACAATGACATGGTATTTTTACGTCACTATTGTATATGCTGAGTCTTACCACCCTCAGGGCACAAACTTTTCCACTCCAGTAACTTACGACAACCACATCGGTCCTAAGATAACGCTACAAACGACATGTACGTTTTTTCAATGTCACAGAGAAAGACGACTCCGTGATAAAGCCTGAAATGTTTTCTTTAATTTCAACCACCCTTGTGGGCGAGCAGGGACTTTAAACTGCTCCTTACACTGCGGCCTTGAGGGAGATTCTGCCAATGTTGTATCCAAACACGAAGGATAGGCACGAAGTCCAAATGTAAAAGTGTCCACAGTTCACAAAATCAAGCACCATTTCTCTCCCATGTGTTTAAAAAGCAATTTCACCTCATTATGCCTTCACACCAACAGCACTAATTCGGATTCTACACGACGTCTGTGACAGAAAGGGAACAGGTCAAATCTAGTACACGGGGGCGCCTGGGTGGCTCAGTCAGTTGGGCGTCTGACTCTGGCTCAGGCCATGATCTCACGGTTCGCGGGTTCGAGCCCCTTGTCGCTCTCTGTGCTGGTAGCTCAGAGCCTGGAACCTGCCTGGGATTCTGTTTCTCCCTCTCTGTCTCTCCCCTCCTTGTGTGCACATGCACGCTCTGTCTCTCTCAAAAATAAACTAAAAAAACCCCTAGTACCCCAAAACTAAAGGCTAAAATTAATCATCAGATGTCAACTGACAGCAAGGTAAGGACCTCTCTGGGACACAGGATGTGTAGTAAGACCAGCCTCCAACACGCCCTGGCCTCTTCCTCCGCCAATTAGCAGCAAAGGCCTTCTTTTCTATGAATAGGACGAGGAAGGAGAGAAAAGACTGTATTATACAAAATTCAGATTTTAAGTATTTGAAAAAAAACATGGAGCGAAAGTAACATTTCCTGACTTTTCACAGAGATTCTGTAATTTAAGTATGGCAAAAAGTTTCCCTCGAGTAAAGTGCACAGCAATGGACACATTTTTGCCGGGGAGACCACACTATTTTCTCTAATCAGGCAAACACCACGATTTTAATGATGCCCAAACCAGCACCTCAGGAGCCGGGGCCGGCCCGTCTTCTGCAGGGGCCACCTGCGCATCTGGACGAAGGATGGACGCCACCTCCGCGGCCAGCCAGCCCGTGCACACGCCCTTCCGCAGGACCTCCATCGTGGTGGCAGATAAAAACTCCACAACGTTGAAGACGAACTGAAGCTTCCCTGGGTGAGCCAGGCTCGAGCTGCAGAGACACACAGGTCAGTGGTGGCCTCTGTGGCAGGGCTGATCGCACAGGCTAGACTCAGCCCCGCTTACTGAACGCAGGGATGCTTCCTATGGGCTCTGAGCTACCTTCTGACTCCTCAGGGAAAGAGATCTGTGGCTACGCAAAAGCTCCCCTTCTCTTCTCCCCCATTTTGTGAGATTCAAGAGTTCACAGTTACCTCTATGCTTCGAGGCGCCACCAGATGCCTACCAGCTTTCACCTCTGCCCGGGTGGCCTCTGCTACCCAGTGAAGGGGGCCTGGCCCAGCACTGCCGGCAGCAGGGGAGGCTGGGGGCTCGCGGCCTCCCCTGGGGCGATGTGCTTCTGGACAGGGACTAGCTGCGGCTGTGCTCCTGCGGGACCAGGGTCCCAGATGGGTCTCCTTCATTCCCTGTCATGCCTACTACTGCCTTCCACAAATCGGGTTAAACTTCCACTGGGTGAATTCGGAACTAATAAGGATTGAGAAGTCGGAGATTCACATTTTGGGAGAAAGATGCTACGTGTTAGTAAGTATCCGTACCTTGCACATGAATATGGTCGGGGCTGGAGCTTAGGAAGATGTTCTAGAAAATAAATGAAAAGAAGCAATTCATTCACTGCTACTGAAAAAAAATTATATGTAAGCGTCTGTAAAAACTCACGTCTGAGTTTGATGCCTATTTTTTATTTAGAATACCCAAAATAACATGTTTTCATTTAAATCACATTTTAGAGCACGTGTAAATTCACTGTGACTGAGCAAATTGTTACTGAGTATTTTTTCCAATTCCTCACATTAAAAGCCAGACATATTGCATTTCTTTAACTGGAAATCAGTGTGTCTTTCTCAAGGCTGGTTTCATAACCCAAAAGATAAGAATAGTATCTGTGATTGGGCTTCAGAATCAGGAAACTCATTAAATTTGCTACGTGTGTGCAGTTTTCTGCAGAAGTGTCCAGAGTTTTCACATTTGAAATAAGATCATGACCCTCAATAGATTAAAAATTTTAAGGATTACGGGAAGTACTTAGACTTGAAATACTTTTCTTTCTTTTATTTATATAGTAAGAAAAAGTGGCAATGCAGTGATAAAACCTTCAAGTTATCCAGAACCTGGTAGTTTCCAAATACAACTGGTGCTCTTTTAAAAGCAGGTCAAAGAGCCAGGGGTGCCTGGGAGCTCAGTCGGTTAAGCATCCAACTCTTGATTTCGGCTCAAGTCATGGCTCACGGTTTGAGCCTGAGCCCCGCATTGGGTTCGGCTCTGGGTGTGGAGTCTGCTTGGGATTCTCCCTCCCTCCCAACCTCCCTCTCTTTCTGCCCTTACCCTGTTCGATGCTCATGCATGTGCATTCACTCTCCCTCAAAATAAATGAACTTAAAAAAAGAAGGGAAAGAAAGCAGGATCTGACTTATTGAAAAGCGCATCCCTAACCCCTAACTGTACGGGACAGCGGGGATCCTTGTGGCCTAACAGTGTGAAGCAGGATACACCTTTTCCTGGAGCCAAAGATAAATGCAATTCTAAAGGTTTTACTCCCTATGGCTACGGGAAAACAGCGAGGAGGGGACAGAGCTCCGAGCACAGGCAAGTGCTTCATGTCTAAGGCTCTTGCACACTTCTCTCTCACCCCGTCCCCGTCCCCACGGAGCCTGCAGACAGTCCCTCCCTGACCCCCTGACACACAGTTCCTCAAGGAGGGTCTTTTCTCTTCTGCTGGAACAAAGACCCCAAGAGACAGTCTGGACAAAAAGCAGGGTAAGTCTGCATTTGAACATCTTGCTGCAGGTTCCCCCAGGCCTCAAGCCTGGAGGCTCCCTGTGTGAGGCGGCGTGTGCTGGTACTACATGGGGGCCCCTGTGGCCCAGGGAGCGCCCCAAACTGGAAGTGCCCTGGTGGCAACATGTCTGTGTCCTACACAGAGAGCACCCCCTCCTTAACCTGTCAAGGAAACACAATGTCCATTGGCTTCGAAAAAACCTCGTTTCCCTTGGGAAACTGATTTTTCAGTAAAATTTAACCAAAAAAACTTTCTGAAAAACAGATGAATCAATAGAAAAGACACTGAATGCAGACTCAAAGAAGGAGCATGAAGACTGGCTGCAGTGAGGGCACAGGGGATCCTGAGGATGGTGGAAGCAGGAAGGAAATAAACATCATGGCAGTGGAGCCGGGTTCTTCCAAATTCCAGGCCACCCCCCTGCCCCTCCCAGAGGCTCCTCCCGGAGGAGACTCCTTTCCACCCCTGGGGGTCTGGGAGCACTCACCCAGCAGAGGCGGGGGAAGGGCGGGGGGGG